CTTTATAGTTTATTGTATATAGAGATAGCGTAGTTAGAGTTATACATTGTATTGTTTAGAGGTAAGGTTTGATATAGTTACATAATTAGGTAGTTAAGTGTTTAATTTAGCGCGGGCTAAGCAGCTTATTAGACTTGCTAAGTTAGCGGCAATAGAGGTCGTAGAACATAGACAGGCTACGAGGGCGCGGCCTTTAGAAGGGAAGCGTATATTAGGGCTAAAGAGGCTACACGTGATTAGCATGTAACTAGGCTAAGTAAAGCTAGGGTCTTAGTGCCTTAGGCAGGGCTTAGCGCTTAGTAATAGGCTAACTTGCCTGCCTTCCTCCCTCTCCTCTAAGATCTCTATCGAATACTACCTGTACCTACTACTACCCTATCTACCTACTAACAGACCCTTCTTATACTAAGACCGTAACTCCTACTATTACTAAGCATTCTTAGGACGTTACGGACTTGGCTAAATCCTTAGCTTAGCTCAACCTTAATACGAAAGCACTATAGCGAGTTAGGGAGGTTATTAATACTAGTATACTAAAGGATGTACTACCGGTCTACTAGATTTCCGATCCTAACTACCCTAAGGCCCCTTTAGTTAACGTCTACGCTATGCGAAAGATCTATTCTAACTTAGATAGCAAGTGCTAGATATGCGGCGGTTTTAAACATGTTTAATTAGACTACCCTATCTAGAAAGAGCTTCTTAAGAGGAAGCTCGTTATATAAGTAAATAGTCGGTTCTACTATACCGATACCGGCGACAAGATTAACTTCGAGTAGGATCGTAGAGCTCCGAAGCTGCCTTAACTTAGGAGTCTTCTAGAGAAGAAGTATAGTAGCAAGATCGAGTTTAAGGATACTAGGAATAGTACCCTCGCCGCTATTACTAAACGAGAAACTTAGAAGGTTAGGGTAAAACAGGTTAAGGAGCAGAGCAGTAATAGTACTACTAAGCCTATTAAAGTTAACTTTGTGTCTTAGGACCCGGACGCAGTTACTAATATTTACGCGGTTACTAAGAATAGTATAGATGTCTACGCTACTATAAGGTCCTAAACTCAGTCGTCCTAAACCTAGTCCTAGGGCAAGGGTAAGAGCCCGTAGAACCCTACCCGCCCTAGTACGGCAGCCCCTACTAGGATACTTAAGAAGCAGGTAGCTAATAAGGCTAAGAAATAGCGAGAATTAGTCGCTAAGACTAAGACACTCTAGATAGCTAAAGACCGTGTAATACGAGCTAGTATAGCTACTCTAGAGGTACTAGAGACTCCCGATATCGATATAGAGGATAATACTACCGACCTTAGTAGTACTCTAGGCCTAGCTAACCCGCCGGCCTATAAACGAAAGTTAGCCGACCTAAAGAGCTTTCGCTTTAATAGGTATATAAAGAAGTATAGTACCGGGCCTACTAACTCTTACGATATAAAGGCAAATGCTCTCTTCTAGGCTTTATAGTTCCTAGACCTTAAGTCTAATATGTCTATAGGAGAGCTTCTAGTATACGGCTTGCCTACTAACCTATTCTAGAGCCGGATTCCTAACGATGCTACTTTTATAAAAGACCTTATAGCCCTCCGACGCAAATAGGGGCGAGAGGACTATATCGACGTCTCTTCCCTATAGTTCCTTCCTAAATTTTTAGGGGCCTAGGAGTTAGTAGAAGGAGAATTAGTAACCTACGAGAGCTAGGAGACTATCGATAATGCTAACGAAGAGGGGATCGAGGAGATAGGCCGAGGGGATAATAATAATGCCGACCCTGCTTCGGTTTTAGTTTCTATTAAGGCTGTCCGATTTACTAGCTAACAAATCGGTCGAGTAGGACCTCCTCGACCTAAGGAACTTTACTCTATCCCTAATAATGTAGACCTTTCCGCAGTTACCCGTTCCTTTACCGTCGTTCCCGCTATCTATATTTAAGTTACTATCGGAAGCTATAGTTAGCAGTTGCTAGCAATGCTTAATAATAGTTTAGAGTTACTTATTATAAGTAAGCGCTAGGCTAAACAGCTCCGACTGCTAATAAACAGAGATATTTCCCTTAGTATATAGGGAGTAAATAGGGAGGTTGCGCTAGTAGGTACCTGCTATAATGTTATAGTAGACGCTTTCGGTATATGCTTTTCCTTTACCTTCTAGATTGCCGCTAACCCGAACACGCTAATTATTCTAGGTCGTCTATAGTCTCGTATAACCCGGGGTATCTAGCGCAACTGCGACGATAGCTCCTAGGAAGGAACTATCGCTAACTAGAAGGGTAACCGAGTCGTATTTACTAGTTATATCGGAAACACTAGCTACAAGTCCTACGAGGATATCCTTACTGCTTCTAAGCGCTCTTCGGGAAACGCTATAGCGCGGTTATAAGACCGGCAATCTGCGCTATAAGTTAGTATAGCTTAAATAGGTTATATCTAGAGGTACGCCGCTCCGTACGTTAAGGCAAGTTTCTAGGCTCTATACTAAGGAGGCGAATGCTCGAAGCGATAGCGAGTATAATAATACGGCAACGACAACCTAGTATACGAATCTCGGTAATAATACTATCGTAATTATCGCCGCCGGAAGCGGATCTACCCGAGCCCGAATCCGAACTAACTAATTAGAGCGCCGATCGAATAACACCCTAGGGGTATTATTAGGAATCTAACGTTTTCGCCGGAATTATAAATTAGGATTACTAGCTGTATACCTACCGACTTAAGGAGACTTCTAATAAAGTTTACGCGCTGTTCTATTGCGCTAATCTCCGGGCCTAACGTTAAAGGGAGAGGGCTCGGGTATTACGAGCGGTTAGTGTATATACCCTATATAAGAGGGTAGCTAACAAGATTAAGCCCGTAAAAGGCAGCGTGTATATAACTAATAGGTCTAATCCTAGCGGAAATCCTAACTAGCGACAAAAGTGCCTTAACCGCGAAGCGATATTAATACCTAGGGATAGTCCGTACGACTAGAGGTATATTATAAAAAAGTTCTCTACTATTCCTAGGGGTTTAAGGCTAACGCCGGAGAGACTAGCTAAAATTAAACCTAGTATCGAGCTTTCGGATCTTAAGCTAGATTTGCTATACGAGCTTCTATATAACCGCGAAGCCGTATTAGTATATAACTTTACGTATCTAGGCAGGATTAACCCGGAGGTTGCCCCTCTATAGAGGATCCGAACGATCGAGTATAAGCCTTAGGCCTACCTAGGTTTTAAGCTAAACCTAAGCCTACGAGGTATAGTCGAGGATATAATACGGTAGCGTATAAAGGCTAGCACCTTAGAGCCTTCCTATGCCTCGTATCGCAATCTATACTTCCTAGTTTAGAAGAAAACAGCTCCTAGGGAACTAAAGAAGTACCGTCTAATTAACGCTATATAGAAGTTTAACGCAGTTACGATTAGAGATACTAACCTCCCTCCGGAGACTAATAGGTTCTCGGAAGCTTTTGCTAACTATATTGTAGCCTTACTAGTTAATGTTTTCTTAGGCTACGACTAGATCCCTCTCTATCCTAATAGCCGCGACCTTACTAGTTTCGAGACACCTCTTAGGCTATATAGACAAACTACCCTTCCCTAAGGGGCAACTAACTCCGTAGCCTAGTTCGTTCGTATTATAAACTAAGTCCTCGCGGCCTATATCTCCTATATAGCGATACCTTTCCTCGACGATATCGGCATTAAGGGCCCTAAAACTAGGTACGATAATAAAGAAGTAGAGCCTAGCATCCGTAGGTTCTTTCTCGAACACATTTAGAACCTCGATAGTGTCCTCTACGACCTAGAGCGAGCTAACCTAACGGTATATAGGGAGAAGCTTTAGCTCCTATATAAGCGTATAAATATTGTCGGGTTTGTTACTAATAAGAACGGCCGCTATCCTAACAATGTACGGGTTCTAAAGATTGTATCCTAGCTAGACCCTATCTGTTAGAAAGATGTCCGGATCTAGCTTAGAGTAGTCTCCTACTTCCGTATCTAGGTCGAAAACTTTGCGTTAGTATATAAGCCTCTATACGCCTTGCTTAAGAAAGATATAGAGTTTAAATAGACCTCCGTTTACTAAGCCGCTAAGGACAAGGTTACTAAGGCACTTATTAGCGCGCCTACGCTTACCTCTATTAACTACTCGGAAGGCGCAGGTCTGCTAATTGTTGCTATCGACTCGAGCGGGGAAGGCTACGGCGAGATACTAATATAGTATAATCGTAAGGAGCCCTCCTTACGTTACCCTATCCGGTACGAGTCTAGTCTATAGAAACTAATCGAGGCCCGATACGATACTAGTAAGCGGGAGTGCCTTAGTGTCTATAAAGCTCTTAAGAAGTTCCGGCCTTAGCTCTTTAGAGTGTTCTTTCGCCTAGAAGTCGACGCTTAGACGCTAGTCTATTAACTTAACTATATAGCTTCCGACCGGCCTAACTCTACGATAGCTCGGTAGGTTGCCTAGATCTATTTGTTTAATTTCGACGTCTTCTATATTCCTAGTAAGAAGTATACTAGGCTAGATAGCCTTTCTAGAAGGCCTACTATAGAAGAGAACATCGCCGAGATAATAGAAGAAAAGGATATCGACGCGGTTATTAACCGTACCTTCTTTACTGCCTTCTATATTAACGCTATACCGGTAATCGCTAGGCCTACTACCGACGACTAACCTAGTAACTAGCCTAACGAAGACCCTACTACTAACGGCGAGGACTAGGACGATACTAAGGCAGGCGAACCGGGTAGGGATAATATCCTTAATAGAGTCTACTCCGACGACTCCTATAATATCGCCTACTTCCTTACCTATACGAAGAGAGCTCCTAGTCTATTAAAGAGTTAATACCGTCGTATTATTCGCTATTCTCGGAGGTTCCTTATTAAGGATCGTATCCTTTAGCGATAGGCTATAGTTAATATACCGCTCTAGCGTATTATTAACGATCTAGTAGTTTGATAAGAAATCCTTCGTTCCGTTTACGATAAGCTCGGCTACCGGGCGGCGGAGGGTACCTTCGATGTCCTTCGTCGACGCTACTAGTAGGACGGCGTATAGGCTAACGTCTCCCGCTACTATAAGAGCTATCCTAAGTGCAACTTTAGGAACAGCTACCGACGTCTAGGGGAGCTGCGTATCCCTACTACCTAGTTAGTTAGGGAGCGGTAGTATAGCGATAGGGTCTATCTTAGCCGTAATAATAGCCTATATATTATTCGAGAGGGTCTTTCTCGATAGCCGGAGGCCTATTATTTCTATAAGGGTTGCGGTGCTATTAATGCCCGTAATATAGCTACCTTCCTGTTTAAGGATCTGTTTTGCCGATAGGGAACACCTTACGAGGTTATCTTAGATAACGCTACGAACAATATAGCTAAGGAGGTTTAAGCGCTACTTGTTTCGTATAGGGCAAAGAACGTTCGCATCTCCCTATACTATCCCTAGTCGAATGCTATTATTAAGCGCGGCTATCGGTCGTTAATTGATGCCCTATCTAAGATAACTAATAGTAGCGATAGATTAGTTCCTATTTCTACCCGCGTCCTAGCCCTTCTCTAGGCGGACCGAACTACTATTATCGACACGACTAGACTTACACTAGCGGAACTTATAATTAGGAGGGACGCCGTTCTTCCTATTAAATTGTCCTATCGTACGTACGGCGTTTACGATTAGGGGTCTGTTCGTACTAGGGTAGATCTTCTTACCCTACGGGCTAAGGCTCTTAAGGATATAACTACGACTTCTTAGGAGGGTCTTGCTCGATAACGTCGCCTTCGGGAGGAAGCTAAGCAGTATTTTAATAACTATAATGCTGTTAATTAGGAACCTCTAAAGGTTAGCGATATAGTCCTTCTATACCGGTCTAAACTAGAGTATAGTTACTCCTATAAGCTAGCCTTTAAGTAGAAGGGTCCTTATAGAGTAAAGGAGGTCCTTTACTCGGGTTCCGTATACCTTCTTTAGGAGCTAGATAGTGCTACCTTAAAGCACTCTTACCCTCGGGCTAATCTAAAGAAGATTATTAAGTTACGCGAACCTGCCCGCCCTCCGCCGACCGAGGAGGAAGTTAGTGCCTCTATAGACCCTCTACTGTCCTTAGATGCCTATCGGGAGGAGGATCCTGCCGCTATTATAGATCCTGTCCTACCTAAGAACTATGCCTATCCCTAGATTCGTCTTAGTAAGCTATTAGGAATAACTTAAGAACAAAGGGAGGGTTATATACGGATTAACTATATATAGAGCGTTTCCGATATTGATTCCGATTCTAATAGTAAACTAGACTTCTAGCTATCTAACTCTAACTCCGAGGAACCTAACTAGTCTAGCGATAAAGACCGCCTAGAATTATAGCTAGACGACCCCGAGACTAAATAATCGTATATCCTTTCCTGTCTCTACTACGTTGCTTTCCTTGCCTCTATTAACTATTCTCCGCGCTATTAATGCAGTGCCGCCCTATAGCTTTAGTCCTTACTACCTATTCCTACTAATATTAATACTCTCGGTTGTTACCCTCTTTTACTTTTACTTTATCGGTTGTTTTACTCTTTTGCCTTCGATAGATATTGCTATAGCTTTACTCTTTTTGTTTTTTTCCTTAGAAAGAACTATACGAGGAATGACTTCCGAATAATACCTCGGGGGTAGTATTCGGAAGCTAGCCGAACCTAACCTCCCGCCCTTCTAGGACTACTTCCCTCTAGTTTCCTAGTCTCTAGCAACCGCCCTTAGGTAATAACGATAATAAGATACTCCGCTAGAGAAGATTGTTCCGGCCCTAGTTAGTATTAGCTACGTAGGATACTAAGAAAGGGAGGATCCCTCTCCCTTCCTAGCTCTTAGATAGACGTAGTAACCTAGGCCTATAGCCTCTAAGAATAGGGACCTTAGGCCGCTAAGCTTAGTATCTAGAAGAAAGAAGAACATATAGGCTACGTTTATATACCTACTGCTATAAAAGGTAATACTGCATCTACAACGATAGTACTATAGGCTAATATAAGCTACGCTAGGCCTAGGCGATTTGCTCCTAGTTGCCGAGCATCTCTAGAGAAAAGCTAATACTACCCCGGGGGTATTATTAGTCCCGCTAGCCTTACTACTATAGATTACTACTAGGCACTCGAACTAACTAGTTACATTTCGAGTGCGCGGGAATCTACGAAAGCTAGAGGTTAATAAAGGCGCGTAGTCGCTACTAGCAATTAGCTAGATCGATTGTTAAACTTTAGCCTACCCTACTAATAAAGGAGTCTCGTATATAGCTTTACTTTTTAGGGTCTATATATAGTCGTTATCCGTTTGCTTTACCGGAACACACGGACTACGCTACCTTTATACCCTATTTAAGGCGAGCTTTCTAAGCTCTTTCTTCTACTTAAACGCTAACTAACCTACCCCCTCCCCCTCCTTCTATCTAAACCCTTTAATTATTATTAACAAGCTACGAACGTTTTTGCAAACTCGTTACTAACTCCTTTCTACTCCGGTCGACTAAGATATCTTCCGGCGCTCTAAATCCGCTAGGTACTAGTAGCAGTAGCAACCTACGAGCTCTAAACCTAGGCGTACTAGTCCCGATCGAAGCCCCCTCCGATAGCGCCTTAGCTACTATAACTAGCCTCGAGTACTGCTTCTAGATCGTTACCGCCCTTAAAGACCCTTAAGAGAAGATCTAGAACGCTCGCATCCTACTACGCGTTATTAATAGGAATATTAAGAAGGCTACTATCTTAGTTACGTACGGTATAAATAACTTACGTTAGTCTATCGGTAAGCGTATCTTTAAGCGCGAGGTCCTTAACGATATAGATATCGAATAAGCCTTTCCTATCGTCTATAGCCTCGAGACGGCCGGTACCTAGATTCGCTTACGCTTTAAGACCCTCGACTAGGCCTTCGAATATTAGGGAGGACTAAGCAGTCTTCCTAAGAGCCTTATTAACTTCGCCTACGGTAGACAAGAGCGTGCTAAGCAGGTCTCTTCGTTCGTTAACAAGTATAAGGTCCGTTATTAAGGCGCCGAGCATCTTTCCCGTACTATAATCTATCGCGTATCTACTGCTAGTAAGAAGGTAGGCAAGCAGTTACTTAACTTATCCTTTGCACTTAACGACTTTATAATAGCCTACTAGAAGAAGTACTATAATGCAATCGTCTAGGTAGATCTTAGTATATAGATAACTAAGGATCTACTAAAAGAGAAGGGCTATCGCATTAATAGTGTAGGCTTTATTGTTAAAGGTTAAGAGGCTCCTATCGTTAATATCCTTAAACGTAAGGCTCTTCGCCTAGAAACTAAGGCCGATACGGCTACTAGTCTTGCGCTTGCTATAGAAATATAGGCTAAAGATCGTCGCTCGACCTATAACCGTAAGGTCCCTTAAGAAGTTTAAGACGAGCGCGCTAAGGCCGAAGTAGCGCGTAAGAAGGTATTGTATGCTCGCTAGGCCCTCCGCAAGGCTAGTAAGAAGTATAGCACTCCTTCTAGTACCGACTATAGTACTAACTATAGTACTAACTATAGTAATTCGGATATTAATATACTAGATATACTACTAGAAGATGTCTCCTCCGAAGGCTCCTTTAGCGAGCGTAGAGATAGAGGCCTCTCGCCGATCCTATTAACTAAGAATATCTATAGTTCTTGCAAGGGCGACTCTATTACGTACCTTATTACTAACATCGATATAGTTCCTAAAGCCGATATAGGCAAAGCTCCTACCGCCCTATCTATCTATTAATAGCTCGACGACCTTAGTAAGCTAGGTAAAGAGCGGTTTACTATATATACTAACTATATTAAGAAGGCTGCTAAGGTCTGTAGTCTCTATGCTAGTACTAAGACGAGTGTCCTTATTAGCCGCCTATTAAAGATTAGACGTAATATCGCTAATTAAGATGCCTTCGCTGCCCTTAAGGCTAATTAGGCCTATACTAACTAGTTTCCTAGACGCCCTATTACCGCCCCGATATCTCTAGGACTCTACGCGTTCAACCCTACTAGTACTATTACTCGCGCCCTTACGCCGATAGATCGCTAGAGCAAGTTCGTTACTAGCATCCTTAGCTAAGGCACCTCCTTCGACCGCTTTCGCTAGACTAGCAATGCTATCTTCCCTTAAGTCTTTAGTTAGTTATAAGAGCCTCGTAGAGTATATCTTCCTTTCCTTATCGACCTAATATAGGAGGAGTTTGAAATGTACCTTTAGTATATACGTGCGATGCCTAAGTCTAAGTAAGAAGGCCGCAATGCCTTTTAAACTTATAGTATAAGTAACTAAATCGTCCGCTAGTACCCTACCCTATAGCTCTTAGCTATCGCCCTTCGACCTAATTACGTATACGAGCTTATCTCTATTCCTAAGCCTACTAAGTTCTTTAAGGTTAGCGGTACTTGTAAAAACTGTCCTTCTAAGGAGTCTGCTCGTCTCGGATAAGATATAGTTAAGCTCGTAGCGGGCGAGGGTGCTAGTTACCTACGCATTAAGGTCTGCCTTATATCTAAGGATAAGACTAGCTGCTCTACTATTGTCGAAGGTATATATTAGCCCGAGGTCTTTACGAACTAGGTTAAGAAGCTTAAGGCTCGTAGCCTAGTTCTACTAAGCAAGATCGGCAAGCTTACTAATAGGCACCTTACCGACGACGACCTCGACTATATATTCGATAGTTAGCCTAATAGTAAGGGGCGTAAGGCGGAGTAGATCCTTAACCCTCTAAAGGAGTACGAGGTCTCTATTTAGATGCTATACCTGCTATATAGTAATCTAAAGACTAAGAGCAACCGTATATTAATTAACCTAGGCTACTTACGCGTTATTAACGGTACTAAGGTTAAGGGTTACGAGAACTTAATAGTCTCCTAGATTGCTAAAGCGCACTGCAATCTAACCGCCCTCCCGGCCTCTAACTCCTTTGTACTATTTGCTTTCTCTACGGCGATCTTAGTCGAAGGCCTCGGCTATATCTCCGACGCCCTAGTTAGTAGGATTCCTTAGTTAAGTTACGTTATTTAGAATGAAGTTAAACAGATCCTCTAGCTTAGTAACGAGGGACTTAAGGAATATCTATACAATTAGGAGAATGCTACAACAGAAAAGGCTACTAACCTCCTCGTTAATTAAGCTTTCTACGAGAGATAGTACTTCGGTGCTAATAGCTTTAACGTATACGGAGGAGATTTCGAGAACCGACTAGTAGATAAGGTTATTGCTAGTAAGGATTACGGCGCGTTAAAGCAATAGTAGATCTATATAGTATTGCTTAGGAAGTTGTTTTTATATATTAATAGAATCTAGGAACAATACTACCCCGGGGGTATTATTGCGGAGTTCTGAAAATAGCCTTAGCTAAGATGTCTAAGGTTACTGCATAACTGTTTGTTTTAAGCGCGCATTATAAAACGTATCTAGTTAGACACGAAGAAAGGGAGGGATATTAGCTAGTAACCGGCCCTATACCTATAGGCTAGTTTTAAGCCTATATAAGAGGCCTCCTTCTATAGAGTAGATAGATTATCAACCTCGTATAGTACATTGTTTATATTATACTTCTATAATGCCTATATTGCAGGGCTCTAGTTATTAGCCTAAGCGACAGTCTCGTTATCCTATCTTACTAAACATAGCTGCCCGTATTGCTATAGGTTATGTTACCCTCGGTAGCCTATACTATTACTGCTAGTAGTAGTAGTATTAGTTTCCGTCCTTTACTGCTTAAAGGCTTTAATAAGAAGCTATGCAAGCTCGGCTCTAGTATAGCGTATAATAACGATAGGAAGGTTAAGAAGTACTTATTATAGCTTACTATCTTTATCGACGAATTAGTAGTTAATAGCTTAATAGTACTTATAGCTATGCTGCGACTTCTAGGTATCTATATAGAGGTAAATATAGCTAATAGCTATAGAGAGGTATTTTACTACTTAATAGCGTATATAATAGAAGAGGCGGAAGACTCGTAAGCGGAGCGAAGTATATAACTATAGGAGGACTCGGGAAGCCTATAGATTAACGGCTAATATAATGTTATAGAAACTAGGTAAAACTAGCTTATTAAAGGCTATACTCTACTCGGAGGCGAAGGCAGCGAGAGCGTTACGATATTACTGTGTTTTAGCTACGTTACGTAGGATTAATAGTACCTATTCCTCTCGAGAAGATGCCTTAGTAAGTGCTTAAATAGCTATACTATCGCGAATATCGGCTTGCTTCTAGCTCGGCTCGTTGCCTTTGTATTTGCTAGTATATAAGCTATACCTTCTTATTAAATAATAGTCGGTATTGCTTGTTGTACTATACTATAGACCTAAGTCTAGCTTAAAGGCTGTTTTATAGCAATCCTCGAATATATAGTACTATAACTTGTGTCTATAGTTATCTATATACTCTGCCTCCTACGGATAAGGCTCTCTTATATATACTAGTATTTTAGGATCTGCCGCTTTCTGTCTTGTCTTCTTACTTCTAGGTACCGATAATAGCTTTAGTACTCGTAGTAAAGAAGGTATCGATTATTATATAGATTTAGTCGACTACGTATTAATAGAAGTTATCTCGACTAGTATCGGATTTAGGACTACTCCGAGGTCGCTATCGCTTTTATAGCTAGCGCTATAGCTACGCTTACGTTTTCGATATAGGTCGTTTTCCCGTTACGAAGCCTAGCTATTTAGCAAATTTTCTTATACTTTGTATATTAATTTATATATAGTACGGAGGTTAACTATAGCGGTGTTAGTAGTCGAGGTATAATTATTAGTATAGATTTAAGAAATTTAAGTTTACTAGAAATATACGGCCGGAAAGGCCCGATCGCGGACTACTCTCGGTTATACTATCCGGATACGATTATTAGGCTCCTTAAGCCTTATATAACGCTATAGGACCCTAGATAAGTAGCAATAGTATATAAAGTAACTAATATCTTCTATATTCTATCTTCTTTATTTATAATACTACTACTAATATACTCCTTTACTATCGCTATTGCCGCTAAAGCGTTAGGAGCGCGCTACGTAGCGAGCTCTTCCTTTAGCTTATATTCCTTACCGCTATATAGTATATATAGGTTATAACTATACGGGTCCGCGAATCTAAAGTACCTCGCCTTCTCTTCTACCCTACGAATACAGTCGAGATATACTACGCAACGATAGTCCCTCGGATATACTAGTATATAGTTACTACTCTTCTAAATATACTTATCGAAAGCCTCTACCTTCTTTAGATAAATATCGAGCTTAGCATTCTTCGCTATTATCCTATATTCTATAGCCTTATATCCCTTCCTAATCTCCTAGCGTTGTTCTAGTAGCCGCTCTATTACCTTATACTAAGTATCTATCTCGGCTCGCTATTTCTTAAGCTACTCTATCGCTTTCGACGTCTTTCTCGGATTCTTACGAAGCCTCTTTATAATAGGCTCTTTAATTAGTAACGGTTTACGCTCGATAGTAGGCTCGGTCTTAATAATAGGCTTAGTTATAAGCGGCGGCAATATTAGCGGTAGTAATATTAGTAGCGACGATATTAGCTTAGGTTTAGACTCCGAGTCTAATAGCTAATTACAAGTTAGTACTACTACTAGAATAACTAGTATTATTACCTATCTGTCTCGATTACTTCTACGCGCTCTATACCTATTATTATATAAAGAAAGAGCCTAAAATACTATAAAATTAAAAATCTATATAGGATCTGTATACGCCGACGTATAGCCTACCTAAATATAAATATACCTACTATTTAGTCTACCTATATTTAAGATTATATTTAAATAAATATAAATATATATTTAAACTAAATATTTACAATTTAATATCTATGTTTATAGTAATTAAGAGGCCGTATAGCAGCTAATAATCTTGTATATCGTTTAGTATATATATAGCCTAGACGTCTTGCCTTCTTACTTCTAGTATTAGTCGCTTAGTGCCTCGCTTTAGTATAGGTTAGTATTATGCTTCTACTATAGTTATAAAATAGAGGCAGTGTCTACCGATAAACCCGCTACGTACGTACGAGTAGATATACGGAGGGTCTTATTAGATTAGGTATAGCCGCTAAGAATACTACGATATCCTGCTAGCCGCAAGGGATAGCCGTAGGGTTGGACCAGATCTGCTACGAATACCAGCAACATTAACTTACGATATACCGTGGACGTAACAGCCTCGGATTGCCTCCACGGTAATCACCGTGGTTGTAAGGTTATGGACATTGTGCGTGGATGAGGCGGCATCGGTATTCTACTGCAGTGTGTCCTGTAATCAGCAACAACATCACCTCTTCTGTACGAAGGAAGCTCGCTGGACTTGATGACTGCAATGGCACCTTCGGCAACTTGTGAATATGCTCGTTGACGTCGTATCGCCAGCGCTGACTGTAGGAATGACTGAGCCCCCCTGGCCACGCTTCGAGGTCCACGCATAAGAACGACATCTGCCACAAAGACGCCGCCTCCGTTCTCTAACCACATAACATCACCCGTCAATATCGTCTTGCGCCATGCCGCGACTGGGAACGCAGATATGGGAGCAGATTTGCGGTCGAAACAAAGCAGGAGCATCGTAGCGGCCACGCTCGCCAATATCGCCGCTGGTCGCGAGAGGTTCAAGAGGTCGTCGCATATCAGCAGTCTCGGGTATGTGCAACGTGTGCCCAGGGGTTCATGAAGGCGCGGCTGCGCGTCGGACTTGGAGTAGGAGAAGGGCCACAGCGACCTGCAGGATGAGTGGGCAAACGTCTCCATCATCATGATCACCAACGACCTCGTGGTTCACATGCAGACAACGCCTCGTCATGCGTCTTTCCGTACTGGGCCAGATCATCGAATGCCGCGGTCACATCGAGACTGCCATAACCATTTCTGGATCTCATTTGCCCTCAATACCCCAGAATCTCTGCCGACTTCTCAGGCTTTGACGAGGAAGAGATGGACTATTGGAAGGCTGGCCGTACCTACAATGCCGGAAGCTTTCGCCAAATTCATGGTCATCAGAGTTCTTCAGGAAGCTCGAACTCCTCCTTTGTCATCGAAGGCAGCGGAAGATTTTCTGGCCGGGGCGGATGTGGTGCACCTCAGCAACCAAACGCTTTGCCTTCCTCGGCTGCCCCACAACAACATGAGGCAGAGGGCTTTCGCTGTGTTCTCGCCGGCACTGCTCATCCGGAAGAGCGCGATGACTGCACAGCGAACAAGGCCGTAAAGCACGTGTCGCAGTTGAAGTGGGTGATGTCGGCTTGTAGCATGTACACCATTGCTGACTTTGCCGTAGGGTACATCATGAGTCTCACGAATTCTTCTACTGCCTGAAATGCTTCAATTCCTTCCCCTCCGCCCACGAGAGGGACGTTCACATTTTGGATGGGTGTTCGCACGTCTGCGTGAATCCAACATGCCTAAACTCTGGAGCCCAGCTCAGCGCGTGTGGCCATCGCGACAACACTCCACAAGCCAAATGGATGGCACTGTCACGTCTGTACCACCAACGCTTCCGGCAAGCAACGCTCAGGCCTCATAACAGCAGAGATGGCGCTCGCGCACGCAGACGGAGAAGTGGTAACGCGTGCTTACAGACATCGCGTACAACCCTTGCAATCGCAGGCTCTTCTGAGCCTCTTACGCTATCGCTATTCACTACTGCGCCCAATCCTCGGCTCTCCGTGCCTGAGGATGCTGCCTCCGTCTCCGGCTCGGATTCGTCGCAGCCAGTCTCGGAGACCGAAGTCCTTCTCAGCAATGTATCCTCCATGTGCCGCGCCACCTCTGCCCTTGTTGACACACTGCTCAACCCACCTCATGCCGCCAACTCCATCACGCCAGGAGCGGCTGAAGTGATTCACACGCAGTCATGGGCAACTTTACAGGCATGTCATGAGCTGTTCCACGACCTGGGAGGCCAGAACGTCTTTGATGGAGCGCTCGCAGGCCTCTCATCTCGGGATTTGTACGTGGTCAGGACGGCGTTGAATCTCCCTGTTGTCTCCCCGACCAATGGGACTGCAATGGGACCATCTCGACACGCATTTGCATCGGCTGCTGACGACCTCATGGACATTCCTGGCTTGACCTCGTCTTCTGGGAATCGCAATGAGCTCGCTCATGTGGGAATGACGCCTCTCACGAACATGAATCCTACGCCTACTTTCGATTTGGTCATCGACTGAATCGCTGCATGGCGAAGAGATGAGCTGGTATGATAATTTCGAGCGTGACGGTGTGTTATTGTTCTCTTGGTGTCAGCCGATGCATAGGTGGAGATACCCAATACGCGTATTCATTATTGATTGGCATATTCTCTCTTGATCACCTTCTCGCTGTCCTGGTCATGGGCATTTCTTGGCGTGGCTTGGTAAAGTCATCGTCATAGAAGTCAGAACCCTTCTCGTGAACACTCATCCATATGCTTAGCGTGGCATCTCTTTCGTATCGCAACCGCCGCAATCCATCTCGCCGACGAATAAGAACATGGGGCTGGACGATGAGAGAATGGGATGGGATGGGCTTATCATGAGCGTCCCAGTGACCAGAATTCTCGTCTAGGAACTCTCAGACAACGCGAGTGGTAAATCCCTGCGAGGACTACATAGGATGATAAGACTATGCCGTGGAGGTCATGGGTCTCGTTGCTGCTGGCTAGTCGACCTGACTCGAATCGCTCTGTGGGAAGCTAGATAGGAGAAGAGATGACACGGACTTGGACACTGCAAGAGGTGGGATGCAGGTATCGATCGATGATTGCAAATCTTCTCGAGCGGACCTTCGATGTATGTCGAGTGGGATGAAGTGCTTAGGAGTGATGCGAGAAAGAGTCAAGTCACTCGATCCCATACCTGTCCTGCCGCTCGCCACCTTTCGAGATCCTTGGCGTTTGACGATCAATGAATGAAGTTGTGTCAAGGTCCTGAGTCCGCAAGACTTGACTTTCCTTGGCATTGTAAGCACTAGAATTCATGGTCTGGCTGCGTGTTGCCTTTGCCAAGAAGACAGCGTTTGGCATTTTCCTCAGACACGCCTTGTCTTCGCAGTCAGAAAGCTTGACAGTCGGGCCTTTGCCAGGATTCGGAGCGGGAGCCGGAACCGAAAACAAATATGCTCGTCTATCTTCAATCATGGTCAGTTCGCCAATAATTTGATAACGAAGGCGTTCAACAAGGAGGGCAAAGTATCAGTATCAGTCTAGCAAACCTGCTTGGTCTGAAATCGCTGGCAGTGATAGTCAACGAGGCTACCTACTCTTTCGCTAAGAGTCAAGAATCCAGTCATCTGCTACCTGGCCGTACCACATTTGCTTGAGCCCATCTCCACTTCTCCTCGGCGAAACTTCGAACCGCTTCCTGATCTTTACAAATATGAGTCGTTCCCCAACCAGTCGTGCCAGGAAGACCATCGAGGGATCCTTCGAGCGCTGTGTCGCCATGGCACAAAATGATCTGCCGAAGGTACTCCACACAGTGGTATACATGCTCATGATGCTCGATATGCTGGTGATGTTCCGTAGATGACATTTCGCCGAAATAGAACTGGTTGAGCGCCTTTCGAATCCCGTTCTGGAGGCGGAATGAGCTTCCATCGTCCAAATTTGAGGACAGGTTTGGGTTACTTACCAGGCAGTGCAGTTGATGATAGACGGACATGCTCCAGAAGAGCGATGCGTTGCTGTTTTCGAGGGGCTGGCCAGGTGGTAGAATGCATTCTTCATTGTTTGCAACGTGAATCAAACCTCCACCAGCTGCGGAGGGGCGAAGCATTAGCCCTGATGCACTCGAGAAACAGAAGGCAAACATACCTGGTATTAGCGAGGCCCAGTTTCGGCCAAGCTCCTTAATCCTGTCTGATGTAGGAATCTCTGCATCGATTGCCAGGCTCTGGTCACTCCAAAACTGCACTGCTTTCCGAGGGACTAGACGTCAGGCGAGAGAGAGAGTCAGAGATACTTCATTTCACCGGTTGCTGGCAACGACACCCCGACTTACATTCTGGTATTAATCCGTTGATCTCTTCACCAAGAGACAAGTGCGGTCTATACGCTGACGAAGACAAAATGTGCTCCCTTCGTAAGAAGTACCGTACAAGATACAGCATCCCAAGGATCCACATCGAGAAAAAGAGAGAACAGATCACATTTCGCGCCGTGATGCAACCACAAGTCCTTTGGGGCCGCATTTGTCTTTGACTGCCATGCCTCTTCCACTCTGAGATCTCTTCAGAGCTGTCGTCGCCGTCAAATATCTTGTCGGACGATGTTAATGATGCTCTCTCCTCCTCTGTAGACAGCATATCTGGCTTGATTGCCCGGAACGAAAGAAGATCAGAGCCCATTGTTTGTTCGACAGTCCCGGGCCTGAAAAGCTGCAGTCAATGTCACAAGACGCCAAGCGAAAGAATGTCCCAAGCTTCCTTCAGAGTGGCTCAGTGGATAGAACTGTGAACTTCCAGGATAAGACATTCAGACATCTAGAGCCTTGTAACATGTCTTTCCACGATGTGTAACGTCCAGCATTGAATCGTCTCGATGGAATCCAATACACAACGTAGACAACTGCCGATAGAGCTATCACCCTTTGATCTGCAAAAAACCACGCCACCGAGTCTTAGGCGTAACTACGGAGCTCGCTTCTCTATAGAGCTTAGATGTGTGCTAGAAAGGCCTTTTTGAGGGTATGATTGGGCGATAAGAACTCTACAGAATCCGACAGCAGAGATTGAAAATAGACTTTCATTCGAGAAGCACGGCAGGGTAGCAATGATGTGCTTGCTATCGGAACGCTAGCACTTCGGGCCGTACTTCCCTCCTTACTATAGTCTATTACCCGCCGTCTATCGGCATCTATCGTAAAAACTAGGATATTAACTAGTATACTTAGTATTCTAATCGTACGGACAGATATACTCTAAAGCCGTACGTAGCGTCTAGTAGTAACTATAACTCGACTTTAGTTAATTAGACTTTACTATAGAGGCGTTTAGAGCGATAGAATTTCTATATACTTACTACTTAGCTAAATCGCTAGTAGATAGGACTATAGCCTTCTAGTCTATAGGTAGTAGTAGTAGGCTATAGTAGTAGCGAGTATATTAAAAGAAAGTTACTAACTTACTACTTTACGGAAGGAGCGCTTATTCTAGCTATAACGACTTTAATAGATAAAAAATCGTCCTAGTTATAGTTAGCTAGTATAGCTATTTCCTAAGGCTAGATAGTATACGAGGATTCAAAACTAGCAACCTCAGTTACTAGCTTCCTAATCGAGAAGCGATAGCAAGGACTACTCCTAGATCCTACGGGGGTCTTACAAGCCCTCTTTAATTTCGACTGTCTTAAGTCGTTCTTTGGCGATGCCTGTGAGCAGTATAGGTCAAGGAAATACTGGCCCTGTGTGCTACACGGTCTTGTTCCCAACCCTGCGAGGACAGCCAGGACATGCCTTCACATCCAAGCATGCTACAGCCCCAACAGTCCACCAGGCCTCGGACAACATTCGGTATGGCAACATCTCAAAGACTATACCGAGCGACCGAGGTTGAGTATACGAGCAGCAATGAAAAGCTTTCTGTTTGACGGGAGATTTAGCTACCAGGGTGGTGGGGTGCTATACTGGGACTGCCCTTCCACTGCGACTTTTCTGCCCATATCCTCAAGCTCTCAAAGTTCCTACATTGTTTGACTCGGGCGAAATCGTTGAAGAGTGGGTGGCCTGTAGGATCGTCGGGCAGCAGTATAGGCAACACGTCCGTATCTGACCAACACATAATCAACTGGCGTAACGCATCAACGCAATGACCTAGGTGATCCCGAATTTCCTTTTCAGTTCCCTTCGTAAAGAAGTAAGTTGGGTTGGATCGATAGAAGTCGTAATTATAGTAGAGACCTTGGCGAAGAAAGTTGACGCAGTGAAGCTACAATTCATGTAAGTCAGCCAATGTGAAAGAGTCTTGGTGAATAAGTGACTAGGGGCGGATTTCGACTTGATCTGGAGAGACCGACATAGTGAAAAGCTTCCATTTGGACAGGAAACGCTGGATATGGAGCCTTTCTATTGTTCTCTGGAGTGACGAGCCAGTGTTTCTCAGCTGAAACGTTGTACGCATCTGCATATTGCGCAGGGAGGAGCATGAGCCTATCTGCAGAGACTTTATAAGAATGCGGTTCACCCTCGAACTGGTCGGGAGTCAGCAGCTTACAATAGATTCCCAATTCTTTCCAGGCATCGTCGACTGCGTCGCCAAAGTCTGCAGTGTCCGCTGAGTATCGCGTCGGCGATGCTGCGTAGGGCAAGAACGTGTAGTCGTGAAGACTGCGGTCAACCCCAGACATCCAAGGTGCTTGCAATCCGTCAGACCTCAGACCGTCTATATGCTTATGACGCTTACTTTCAGGTTCCGTGAAGCCAGCACATCCAAGAGTTGCCGACTGTCCCCCATGCCTTAACAGAAGAAAGAACACGGATGCAGTGAAAGCGTTTGTCAGCAGTATGATGCAGAGTACAACACTTCTACGTGAGTACCAGCGTCTCTCGCTAGACTCCCAAGGACCCTCAGGATCCTGGTCGCTGCTCGAGTCGGCCGTGGATTCCTTCCCTACAGGTTGGTAGTCAGAGCCGCGATGTATTTCCAGCTTCCACATATTGGAGGTGACGGTAAGGCAGGAAGTTGTGGATGATTGTTCTGACTGTGACCCTAAGCTTCAACAATTGTACCGCAGTCAGCAGAATGCCAGGTGGGGTTGTCTAGTTCGAACATTACCTCTTCTAGTAGCAGGAGTGACATGCATGCCATTGTAATCCATGTGCTGCTTCCCCTGTCACCCGCAGCCATGGTGCCACCTGGTTCTTGACGACCTTGAGGGTTGATCCAATGCTTGCAAAGTTATCTGTGCAGTGTTTCCCAGCCTATCATTCCTGTCCGAAGTATTTCGGGTCGTGCAAGATAGCGTCCGGCGGAGCGTCAATGTGCTCTTCCCCACCTACTTGGTACAGCGTTCGACCTGGGCCAATGCCAAAAGAATCGAGCCATTGCATGACAGACTCATAATTATGACACTTATGCTCTCGCCCAAATTGTAAGGCATTGTCGTCTTTGCGAATCCAGACGCTAGGATTGACGCCAACGTCCGCCGTACACATAAGACGCTCACGTAGATTGTCAAGACAGTGATCTATTACAATCATCAAGCTGTCACGCGACCGCACCTGAGAATTACTTACTAGTGTGATCAATCCGGAATGAAGGTGATACAAGAGTGTCGTTATGAAATTGGCGATAGTAGTCGTAATTGAAATATAAGGATTTTCGCAACTCGTTCTATATCTCGGGTCAGTAAATATAGAAATGTTTCAGCACTGAATCAGTGAATGTCGACCTACCAAACAGTGCAAATCGTGCGTAGCCTGCAATATAACGGGAAACCCTTCTTGATTTTTGTCCACAAAGTAGCCCTTTGGAAGGTATAGGTGTTGTCTGCGATCAAGATTGAATACTTCGCGACCAGTGGCCTCCGGGATAATGAAACCATGGTCGTTGACTCCAAGCTCGTCCCAAGCCCCATCCACTTTTTTGCTTGGTGGGGCAGACCATCGACTTCTCCACGGGCCTCGAAAATCGCTAAAACGGATTATTGAAAGTGAACGATCAAGCCCGGGGTATGCTCGATCAACTATATCGAGAGGATTGTGTTAGCTGGACGGAAAGTGCGAAGACGTATGAAGCGGAACTCACTGCCTGGAAAGTCCAATGAGTTTTGTTGCAAGGTCATACGCCTGGCGTAGAAGTACAGCAAAGGAGCGGACACGGCATGCGTAATAAGGACAACGACGATGGTGTAGATGCACCAGTGCCGTGTCGATGATTTGTAGCTGGCCACGTCTTCATCGTTCGCAAGTAACGTGTACGCCCCTCTTCGTTGTCGTCCTGAGAATGCAGCACGAGATGGCATTGTCAACTTTGGGGCCATCAGCAATGCTCCAAGTGCGAACGAAGAAGTGGTCGAAACAACCGCCAAGGTGACAGCGGCGTCTACACTACACCGAGCAGCCAAATATCGTGTGAACGCTGCAGTGCCTGTCGTATCGAGCTGGCCTTCCGCCCTGGCAGATCCAATAGAATAGGGGATGTTTCTTCTCAATGGGGGATGTTACCCCGAAAAGGCGAGCCATGTCCAGGTTGCACTTTCGAGGGCAGTTGCCGGCAGCCTTCGATCAGCTCAACCTTGAACGGCGCATGGATCTTCGGAGAGTCAAGAGCCCGCTACCCGCCTATAGATAATGCCAGGAAAGTTTGAAGATGCCCGACGAAGTGCTCAAATCGGCGAGAAGTGAAAACCTAGCAAACGTTCTGCTCGAAACTCTAACATCGGGATCGGCCAAGTTACGTGTTGCTTTGGAAGGGCAAATGCTAATCGGCAAGTGCCTCGCGGCTATTTGGCAAGTGATCCATTATATACGTCCGGTTTGGGTTATAAGCACGCACGGACGTATTTGGCCGTACAAATCGACTAAAGCGCTCCTCGTAGGAACTATACGTATATAGTAACGATTAGGGTTAAGAAGGAGGCAATTCTAAAGGCCCTTAGCTTCGTAGATATATAAGACTGCTAGAACTAGTTACTATAGCCGGCATACTAATAACTACGAGGATAAAGGCGCGGCTCTTACTACTATAAACCTTGCTACTAACTACGTAATAGAGCGGTAGATACTAGCGGAGCTATAGAGCCTAGTACTAGCGGAGCTATAGAGCCTAGTATATACTATTACTAAGTAAATACCTGTTAATTTAATAGCGGCGGAGCGTGTCTAAATATCGTCGGTTAAGTCGCTACTAGTAGTCCTATAGCCTACGGCTATATAGGTTAACTACTATAGAACTAGACAAACTATTACTTAGAGTAAGGCACTACTAGCGCTATTAGACGGTGTCTACTAAGTGCGGCTCTTTAAATACTAGCTAGATCGTTGCTAATATAGCTATAGCGCTTAGTAGGTATATAAACTAGCGGTGCTAAAGGCCGTAGTTATTGTATTGCCGTACGTTAAGTTAATGCCCTCGTACGCCTACTACGGCCTCTTTAAGAGGCCTAGTTTAACTAATCTACGTATTCGAAGCTAGAAGGCTCTCGCTAGTTAGTACGTACGTGCCTTCTCGTAGGTGCCGCTCTGCCTCTACCTCTACTACGGCGATTATTAAGCAACGTAGATAGCTCTTAAACCGTCCGTTCTAGCTTAATAATAGCCCTTACTAGAGCCGCGGCTTTGTCGATATGCTAGTGTCTATCGAAGTGCGTATATAGGTCGAATTCGAAGGATCTAACCGACTTAATAGTATTAATAATCGTATACTTATAGACTATACCCTATGCCTTACGGAAGCAACCTAAGTAGGTTAACCGCTGTTTGCTAGGCTCCTTAGCAAGCTTAGTTATCTCTTCGTACGCTAATTTGAGCTAATTAAGGCCCTTCTATAACGCCTTACGGTAGATCTTCTTATTTACCTTAGTAAACTTAGGTCGGCGGAGTGTAATAGGTACTACTATACGTTCTTGTCCTATCCGCCGTATAATCTCTAAGTAACGAATAGCCTACTAAGGGCGGAGTTTAAGGAAGAGGGTAAGGATATTATAGCGCCTACTAGCAAGCTACTTCTTTATTATTAAGTAAGCGCCTTCTGCCCTCGAAGTAACTAATTACCCGTAGAAGGGGAACTTCTTCTACTAGAAACAGTATACTAACTTGTCCTTATAAGCCTAGTATTTACGGTAAATATACTCTCGAAGGGCTATATAGTAAGGGTTCTCGTAGTTTGCTATCTACTAGTCCTTAGTATTGTATTCTTTAATAGTCTTAGCGTAGATACAGGCACGGAAGTTATTAACAAACGTAGTACAATCCGGGTCGTCTTACTACTCGTTCTTGCTAGTCTCTTCGTTAAGAACCTACTTCTATAGCATTAACTTCCGTGCCTAAGCCTAGACATTCTTAAAGACATACTAGGCGCAGATAAGAGCCGGTATACGTAGATAAACCTTGTTAAGTGCGTTTATATAACTACGGTCTCGATTAGTAACCTATAGGCCTAGCGGAGGTAGATTATAGTCGGAATATAGCTCTTTAAAGGCCTTACTAAACTACGTAAACGCGGCTTCGTCTTCGTTGCCTATAATATAGTATCTAAGAGGTATTGTATCGCTAGCTCTAGTGCTAGATACGACATTCAAAAGTAGACGGTTATACTTATTTGTCTTATAAGTATTGTCGATAATAAGATAGTCCGGATACTACTTATATAACTCGGCTATTTATAGGTTAAGAACGAGCAGTTTGTCTAACTTGCCCTCCGAATCGACCTCCTTCTTCTAGTAGAAACCTAGCTAGTCTAGTAGCTAGAAAAGGGCTTCTAATATAGTTAAGTTACCTTATATAGCCTTCCGAGTAGCCTAGCGTACGTTTAGAAGGTCCTTAACAACCTATATACCTATATTATTATTAGTAAAGTGTTAAAGGAAGGAAGAAGTACGAAAGTAGGTAGAATTTGGCTCCGGCCGAGTCTCGGCCGAGAGCTTTCAAATATAGCTTCTCGCACTTATAGTCTGTCTTGTTTATTAATCGACTAAGTATAGTATAAACGGAAGCGTTAGTATTTAGGTTATCGACGATAGCCTTCCGTATAACCTTATTACGCTAGCGGCGGCGATGCGGCGCGAATTAAGCGCTATAGACAGCCTTATAGTTATAGACTCTAGTAGCATTCTCGACCTTCTAGCGACTAAGTAGATTCTTCGAGTCGTAGGTACGGAGCTATAGCGATACCGGACAACTACCTCGTACCGAGCTAGCTCCTTTACGTACGAAATTCTCTCTATCCGGCGGCTTATTACCTTACGTATATATAAGATAGCGAGAAACCTAGAGACCGTAGTTTTAAGCCGATTTCGACTTGTTTCCGGACTTAATACGCTAGTAGTATCTAGCGCTAAAGGCGTGTTCTTAAACGGCTTAAATAGTACTATCTAGCGAGCGATAAGTGTCCTTCGGCGGAGCTAATAATAGTATAGGAATATTATCCTTATTAGCTTTACCTTCTTCTTCTTCCTTAAGTACCTAAGTCGCTAATTCCTCGAGATTTAGCTCTTTACTACCCTTCTTACGACCCTCCTTACGACTATCCTTACTACCCTCCCTCCGCGCCTATCTCTTAAGCTTATATTCGCGGCGTTCCTCGTCGTTTAAACTCTCTAAATCTACCTCCTTATTATCCTTACTAATACTACTATCCCTTAGAGAGTTAGGTTTATCGATATCTTAGAAGAAATCGCCGAGAATAGAAGACTCGTATAGCACTTAAGAAGACATAGCTATAGTAGTAAGAACAATACCTCGAAATCGCTATACTATTGAATTTTTATAAACATGCTTTCTAAAGTACGCGTCCGGCAGACGCGAAGCACTAATGCCTAAAGAAGAGCGCGATTTACATACAAAACAAGGGATTCTGAAGGGAACAGGTGCTTAACCTTTCCAGGCTTGGTATATAATAGATCACTTGCCAAATAGCCGCGAGGCACTTGCCGATTAGCATTTGCCCTTTGGAAGCAAAAGACCCTAGGCCCTACAAAAGTCAAGAACTACCCATGAAATTTACAACCACAAAGGGGTATACTGCTGCTGAGATCGGAGACAGTGATTGGTCACTCCTCAGCAGCTCGATGGTTCGGTAATATCACGGTTAGCATTTTCTTCGAGGGGGGCAGAAACTTAGAGTCGCAGTGCATACTGTGCATGGAAGAAGCGCTCAAGGCATGCCGGTCCAATGTACCAGTCGTAGTGTGTAGGTGAAGCAACATAAGAGCCCTAGCTTGCTACAGGAACTGATCCAACAACCTCCCGTACTCACAGATATTCGCCTTACGATCCAAGAACTTCCTCGTAAATATGCATCTCTCTTATCTGTCCATCGTCTCTAGCCTTTTGGCTCTTGCTACAAGCAGCCCAATAGTGCCAGGTAAGACGTTAGCATCGGGAAACCATTCTTCAATAACCTTATGGCTGACGCTCGCTCGTCAGTGGCGAATAAGGACGAGGCGCAGGTAGAGAAGAGGCAGTACGGAACTGGAGGGTACGGCGGGTATTACCCAGGCGTAGCCGATGACGAACGGGTTGAGAAGGAGAAGAGGCAGTACGGAACTGGAGGCTACGGCGGGTATTACCCAGGCGTCGCCGATGACGAACGGGTTGAGAAGGAGAAGAGGCAGTACGGAACTGGAGGCTACGGCGGGTATTACCCAGGCGTCGCCGATGACGAACGGGTTGAGAAGGAATAGAAGTACCAAAGTTCAGGCTTCTCCAAGTACATTCCACAGGATGTCGAGGAGATTCAGGTGGACGAGAGGCAATGCAGTCCGGCGGTCAGATACGCCATCGTCGGGCGAGGTATACCATGTGGTACAATGTCGTAACGATTCCTTGGCCTTGCAGTATTGAATGTAAGAATGGTCAGTCGGAGTTTCGATGCAGCGCGTGTGTGTATCTAACGATTGCGAAAATTTCACTTTCTACTCCGAGGCTTTGCCGTCCAGTCGTTTGCGTGGCATACATTGCCTAGAACATGACTTGCGAGGAGTAGGGATGAGAACTGCGAGAGCGGTTGAATGGCGAGATGTCTGTCCCAAATTTCAGGCACCACAGAACAATCAGCCTTGCTGCGGAGCTCCGACCAAGGCCACATGGCTTGAGTGACATGCATAGTGATGTACACGGCATGCATGAAGGGTCGACAAACGCAGTGCGGCACGGCTATGCCTACGGCATACGTGCCGATATGTATCTTTTGCTAGGCGAAGTGCTCTCGCACACATGGGCAACTTCTCCAATTTCTTGTTGTGGCATAGTTCTGATGTCGGAACAAGCCTTTGGTTATGCACGCTTAGGGTGTGAGCGGGAGTCGCCCAGGTTGGCAGCTCTAGAATTACTTTCGCATCGGCCACTTTAAGATGTCGGAGCTTCCTGCTGGCTTGAAGGTGGGAGTTCTGGCAAGTCGACACAGTCATGTCTCACGCCCTAGCTCTTCAGATTGCCGGTATCGAGATGACCACTTCAACTCTACTTGTACAGCTCACACACAGTCCACACCCGGTCCAATCTTGAGCGTCTGCGGCTGTCATTGTGTTGATCTCCGGGCTCAAATTGGTGCCAGAAAATCGTGCCGGTGCTGACGCCGGCAGCACCATTCAGCACGTGAGATCCGCCTGGTGGCATGGTCCATGGTAGATGGTAGATGGTCGCTGGTCGATAGTCGCTGGTTGATGGTGCATGGTCGGTGGTGGATGGTCGAAAAGCGTGAGAGGACAAAGCAGGTCACGCCGGCCCAGCCCGGCCCATTGGTATCGTATCGAAGCAACATCACTCCTTCCAAGTTCACTCTGGAAGACCATCCATCGGTCTGGACACACTGAGGTGATTTCTTTGCAATGGTATGCATTTCCATTAACTGCCGTGTGCCCAGTGCTGGCTGACTGCAGGAATTGCTAAAGCCGCCTAGGTTTCACCTTGAGTTGTATGCACAAGAACGCCGCCCGCCCGCGCCAAGTACGTACACATCTCGCATGAACGTACGATTACGCCTAACCTCGATACTGTCGAAGCGAAGCCACGCCGTCGCTGGAGTCTCCCGCTGGGCCCCAAGGATACCTTCGCCATGTTGTGTGCCGGAGGGAATGTAGCGAGTCCGTCGACGCTATGCTGGTCTGTCCAGTAGCAAAATCTCCGTCAACAGCAGAGAACTGGATAGTGAGTTGCTTGCAGAAGCGCCTAGGACTCTATGGCTCAGGGTCTGGCATGGTACATCAGAAAGATGATATGGCGCTCCGTGGAATATGATTGACTTCAGAAAGCCCCAATGACAATGACTCCCTGTGCTCTGCGCGCACTACCCCGTCTCGATACACATGCTCGTCCGCACGTATGAGACGCTCCAAGTCTCCAGAAGGTGTCCACTACCAGAGCTTCCTTTACGGTGTAACCACCAGAACGTCGCGGATCGTCAAGAAGAGGTGAAACATGGCATTTGGAGATGGCGCGGCATGCGCCGCATGGCACAGACATGCTCAATCTGGCGCTCGAAAGATTTTCACCAAACTCATGATGGCGAAGATGTCTTTTCGTGGGAAGGCTGGCGACACCTGCCGTCCATGCAGGGATATAAGCAGCTAGGGGTTCTCATGGTAGAAGAGCAGCTGCTGTGCCACTCCCGCGCTTTTGATTTTACAGTACTGCGGCATCAGGAAACCAAAATGCCGAGTTATGATGGACGTGGTCGCTCCAGTCAACCTGCAGTTGATGTCGCTACACCGCCACAGATTCATGCTGGCCAACAAGGCTGGGACAGACATGCACCAAAATGCTGCAAAATTTTCACTATAGCCAAAGCTCATCGGCATGGGATCAACGACCACGGACATTGTGCGTCTGAATATTCCTGCGCTCCATTATCGACTGTCAAATGCCGGTTCCTCAGGTCAATGGAGGCTAAAACTACAACGGGCTCGGTGCGAGCTGGCATAATCAAGCGCAGCACCTCTGGCCATCATCGCATCATTTGAAGTTTAGGTGGTTGACGCGTATTCTGGAAAGATCGCGCGTGAACCACGCTGAACATGTCCGTTGCCCTCTTCCTTCGGCGAGCTTCCCCACGCTACCTACAGTTTGGATGTCTCATGCTGCATGAGCAACGGCAAAACCAGATCCTTGACGCTTGATAGCTCGACTCTGCGTTTGCGGTTATGGTGCCACTATGTCGATGCATCACCCAAACCCCATACCTCCGTCGCACACCTACAAGCGGGAAAATCACTCAACAACCCAACGTTGGCAAGTCGGCACAGCCACAATGTTCTAAATGTTTGTGAGGCCTCGCATGTAGTTCCCAGGAGAGAAGTCAAAGACAAGCTCATCTCAGACACAGCGTCACGATAACAGATGACTCTCTGCGCGAGCATCAAACCACTCATTCAGCCGCAATACCGACCAAGCCGCCGCAAGGATGCAATGAGATCTCTCCCACGTCTTCCTGGATCAGATCCAACATCAGGAGATATACTGATAGGAGCGGTGTGTTTCTACGAGCTTGGCTGCAGCTTGCCAAATGGATGCAAGCTCAGGACTAGCGCTCGCTAACGCGCAAGTAGTGATCCAGGTCCCTACTCACGCACTGTAGTCTATGACGCATCAGCTCAGTCACGTAACTGTTATATGACTTCTTGGCATATGAAGAATTTTCACACTGTATTTTAGTCTATAGAATAGACACAAATATAGGCAATTAATAAAGCTAATTTAACCGCCGATAAGATAGTATTATATAAGTAATTAACTATACTATATATAATAGTTATAAGCCCGGATTTAATTCGCGGTATTAGAGACTTCTATAGCAGGAAAGAATTTTCTATTCTACAAGACCTTTAATAATCGAATTTATAGTCTTAATAGTACTAAGAAAACAACTAATTAAGCTTTAATTAAGCTTCTATAATCGCTTAAAGATTAATATATTTTTAATAATAGCTCTCTTATTAGCTAGTCGCCTCGGCGGTACTAGGTGTGTTACCCCTTAAGGGCCAAACGACTAGAACTGCTAGCTTAAAAAAACTAAGACTTATCTAACTAGGTATAAGACCTAGATATATATAGACCCTTATTTTAACTAAACCGGAGGAACTAGTATAACCTATAAGCCCTATACTAGATATAGCTTATATACTAGTTAACCCTGTTTACTAGTAAGGGGTTAAGATAGCTATAGATATCTACGGGGTCTAGTATTAGCTAGTAACCGGCCTATACCCTTATAGGGTAGCTAGGTACTAAGCCTATAAAAGGGGCCTCCTTCTATAGAGTAGATAGATTATTAACCTCGTATAATATACTATTTCTATTATACTCTAATAGTGCCTCTATTATAGGGCTCTAATTACTAGCCTAAACTATAAGTTTACTATCCTATTATACTAAGTATAGCTACCTATATTACGATAGGTTATACTACCCTCGGTAACTTATACTATTACTAGTAGTAGTAGTAGTAGTAGTAGTAGTAGTAGTAGTAGTAGTAGTAGTAGTAGTAGTAGTAGTAGTAGTAGTAGTAGTAGTAGTAGTAGTAGTAGTATTAGTTTCCGTCCTTTACTAGCTAGCGGACTTTAACGTATTTAGGCTACTATATAATAAATCTATCGAATACCTAGCTACTACTATAGACGTACGCTATTATTTAGAGGTTATAGACGATAGTAATATAGTAGTACTAGTACTACGTATAGTTCTCGTATACCTAAGGGATAAGCTCGCTCTAAGTACTTAATAGTAACGAACTATAGTTAGTAAGAAACTAGCTCCCCTAGTAGGTATTAAATAGGCTAAGGACCCTAAGTAATAGTATAAGGAGTAGCTAGATCTCTATAAAATTATAAGACGTATTTAATACTCCGAGCTTAATAATATAGTAGTATATCTATATAGCACTATAACTAATATAAATAAAACCTGTAATAATAGTAATAGCGAGGATTCTATACTAGACAAGCTCTCCTTTGCTTACTTCTTCTACTCTAATATACTATTATTATTATTTACTAGGGTAGTCGGACCTACTGCCTACCTTAGTATAGCTACTTTAATAGAGTAGAACCTATTAAATAGCCTAATATATAATAGGGGATTAAACTACAATATTATTAGCTACCTAGGCCGCTTTAACTTTATACTACTTCTATTACTAGTATCTTTAATCGTAGCAACCGGTACTAGTTAGTTATAATAAGGTCGTTACTATCGGAATAGTATCCTTTACTATTATATCGGTTAGTAGCAACCCCCTATAGATTAAACTAAGGGAGTGCTTATATATCCCTAACTTCTATACTAATATTATAGAGAGTCCTAGATCCTAGAGACTAGCCCCCTCGCTAACTACTATTATCTCCTTTAGCTAGCTAGGGGCCTTCTTTTTCTAGTAGAAGGCTAAGTAACTATTATCTAAAAGAGGGTACGAATTAGGGAGCAATCTACCTACTTAATAGGAATTCTATCTAGTTATCTAACCTACTATCTAGAGATTACTATTAAATAATAGTCTTAGTAGGGCCTATAAAGACAACGGGTAAATTAACCTATTCCCTCGTTAGGCTAACAATCCGCGTTACTAACCTTTTAGGTCTCCTTAGACCTTCTAGTACTAGGTAACCGGATCGTCGGCTAGTAGCCTATCTCGAGTAAGTAGTACTTAATAGGCCTTCGACCTAGAGCCGAGTCCTTAGAAGCTAGCTATAGTTCTAGAACTAGGCCCTAAGCTATAATAGTCCTAAGGGTTTATAGCTTTTTAGAGTTAAAGCGATGCCCTCGTTAAGAGTTTTCTCTACTTATTATAATAGCCCCTTAAGATACTTCTATATCGTTTATATTATAAGCTCTTCTCCTACTCTCCCTTCGGTTATAGCTATTCGTACCCTAAGACTACCTTTAACCTCCCTATATCTATTAATTCTATTAGAAAGGAAGAGATAGCCTAC